ATTCATTTCAATGGAATCATTTTTTTAATGCTCAACTCTGGATCGCACAAAATGCTTAGTTTCATTAGAAATTATAATTCAAGACAACAATTTTTTCTTCGTGTTTTTTTCCGGCTTGATAGGTTTCGGCCTATTTTTCAAAAATAGCCTAATTCTTTTTGAAAGTCCTTTTTTTGTCATTTTCAATTTTGTCGTTTTTTTTGCGTTGTATCGCAAGTGGTGCAAAACTAAGCTTCGCCTCTTTGTGCTAATTTTCGTGGGCTCAATTTCCGTTTTTTTGTTGTTTTCAAATGCCGTTTGTATTATCCTTAGCATAGTTATTTCTTGGTTCAAAAGCATGCGTTTTTTTATGATTTAAACAATTGTCCCTTTAATTGAAAGTTGTAGAGCTCTTATTTCGAATAATTCGATTGTACAGCTCTGAATTTAAACAATTGTCCCTTCAATTGAAAGTTGTTCTGTAATTTGTTAATTGTACAGCTCTGATTTAGAATAATTAAATTTTGAATTATTCAATTTTTTCGATTTGGTCTCAGTCTGAAGGGAGTAGTTGACCCAAGTTTTGTCGACTTAGTTGCCGCTTAGTACGTCATTTCCACAGCTATTTTTAGGTCTATTATTTTAAATATCATCAAACATGAGCAATTTTTGTAAATGCATATATTATTTTAATTTTTACGTTTGCGATTAGCAAGCGTCATCAAATCGAAATGAAGACTTTTTTCGGGATAACAACTAGTTGAACAAAATCAGTTGAATCACTTATGATGCTGCTATGCAGCTGACATGCTCAAATAAAAGTGAAAGCTTATTTCATAAAAATTCAAAATCAGCTACTGGGTGGATACTAGTTACAACAAGTAATTACTGGGGTGACTTGAAACTTCCAATTTTTTTTCAAATCAATTTTTTTTCGGCTCAACTGGTGCCTGCTTGGCGCCTTGTTTCGGCCTTTTTTCCGCTTAGTAAGGTTTGTTAAGTTGCTAATTTGAACTCAAAATGTCTTGCTTGGCGTGTTTGCTCAGAATTCCTGTTAGATAAAAAGAAGTATTATAAAAATGGTTAATAAAAACATATGTATGGGATTAGGTTTTGTCAAAAATTTAGTTTTTTTTATTCAAAAACCCTTCGATTCAAAAACCCTTTTCAATGAGGAGTATTCATATAAAGACTGCCTACACCCTTGTGTGCCTGCATACTCACCTGGTCTTTTTTGCTTTACCCATTTGTCTGCAGCATTCGAAATGGTCTGTTGGGGGATCTTTGATCGATGTTTTTGACTTTTTTCGTGTTCTCAAAAACTAAACTACCAAATCTGAGATTCTTGTTTCATTGATTAGTGTGGAATTGAAAAACTCTGCTCCATAAGCGCCTACGCTCAAACTTTTTAAACACTAAATTAGGGTGCTCAAAATAATGAAATTTTTGATGTTTTGACCGTTTTTTGGATCGTGTTGACTTTTCTCGAAAACTAACTTCCAAAACATGATGTTGTGGATTCAATAGAGAGAACGGGTAGTGAGAAGCTCCCATGCATTAACGGTGCTCCCAATTTTTTTACACAAAAAGGTTATCGTCCTCGAAGTTTTTCTGCGGAAGCAGCTGAGCCCAATTTTTTTAAACGAAAAGCTATGTTTCTCTTAATTATCAGCTATCTGATCTGTTGACAATTTTTGACTTTTCTCGATAACTCTCCTGGCGAATTTAATACCATAGGTTCAATTTTCACAACATGTTGCTGAAAACTTACCTTTATAATTTGGTACGCTCAGTTAGAAAATTGGCCTTTAAAGAAGTGGAAGTTTTGAAACTGACCCTTTTTGAAGTTTTTTTGACTGTACTCGAAACTTACCGTGCCAATTCTCAGGTTAAAGAAACCTGATGTTGGGAATCTTCTCTAATCTATCGGTCGCTTTTAGCAAAAAAATGTTAGGGATTTCGAAAAGTCCAGTTTTTGAAATTTGACCGTTTGCAGAAGCGGCTACTCCTGATTGTTTTGTAAGAGAAGTGTTATGACTTCGGGAAAATTCCAAAATTTAAAATTTTTAAAATACCTAAAATCTAAAAATAAAATCTACTTATTTTAGTAGACAAAGAACTAAGGTTTTGCGCTAAATCCAATTTTTGCATTTCGTACTGCAATTTCAAATAAGAAATTCAATAAATGCATTTCGTTCTGCAATTTCAGATAACAAATTCATTAAACGCGAAAATGTACCTCCAGCTTTAGTTTGGCTCTAGCTGTTCTTCATCGAGACATTTTTTGGTTCACTTAGTTTATTTCTACTCTGCTAAAGTAGTTTCTTTCAACGAATCCTACTTTTGGATATTCGCCAAACAATAACCGAATAATTAATCTGTCTTGTCGGAGATATATCATCTTTCTTTCTTATATTACCCGAAATTCTCACTGCTGTTTCTTTTGATTGCATTAATTTCTGACCTGCTGTTTTACACCCAGTGGTTAAAAGAAAGCTTGGTGTTGTTAGTTGTCTTCATTTCTTTTTCTTACATCCTACGATGTTTTGTTGAAGTACCAAAGATCTTCAGAGCAAAGTTGCCGAACCTTGAGTCTACCATCGATCATTAGGGAAAATTTGCTCAAAAAGGCGGATGAAGTAAAAACAGCTGAAGCCTTTTATCCCGAATGCATGTTATGTGGTGGAACTGGCCTTGGTTAGAAACTTTTTACTTGCTTAAAATGTTGCCGATCCGTGTATTTGAAATGTGTTGGATTAACACTACAGACTTGTGGTTCGTTTAACAATGGTTTTTTTTTGTCCTGGTCTTGTGTGGAATGTGCCTCGGTCTTTTATGATTATTTTTACGGCAACTTTTGTGATTTTTTTATAGTATCAAAGGCGTCTGACAAAGGTTGTAACTCAAGAAACCGGTGTCGGGAAAGTCATAGAAAATCAAATAGAAAACGATTCAGTGCTCGAGAAAAATGAAAAGCAAAGTGGCGCAGAGAAAAAGCCTGCTTTCAGTGAGTTTTCACGACGAAAGTCTGCTGCAAATTGATTCAGGAAGTCAAGTGCTGCATCAACGTTAGAGCGAAGTGGAAAGAAAAGAAAATTAGGCTAAACTCGGCGAACCAAAGCAGCTAAGACTGAGCTCATATAAAAAGGAAATGATAAGCCCAGCAAAGGTTTCTCGGCCGGTAAATAAATAGCTACTGACGAGGAGGCTTTCATATTTCAGTAAAGTTAATTCTGGAGTAACCTATGAGGCTTTTTTGACCATTGCAAAAATAAGGGAGTAAATCACTGAGCAGATCAAATAATATCGAAAACTCAGGTGCTACTGCTTTACACTGTTTTCTTAAAGACTCAAAAGATAAGATTGAAACCAATAATTTATGTCCCGAAAGAGTTGTTCACCGACAGTTCAGACTCAATAAAGATGCGAAAGTAGGGTTGATTTTTTTATTGACTAAAAAGCACTCACATGATTATGTCAAGTAATGTCTGTGGAATCTCAGATCTCCCCGGAAAAAGTTTTCGCATGTACGGAATCTCACTAAATCATTTGAGCTGAATTTGTTCTTTCGCCGAGACATGGATTTTAGATGAGGAAATTGGGAAATCCCTTTTACTTGGCTCTACCTCAAAAACTAGGTTCGTCAGTGATTATAGGCATGATATAGGAGGAATTGATTTTTTTCTGATTTACTACACGAAGTAACAAGTAGCCAAGATTGGGAATTGAATAGAATGTCTTTTATTGGAAAGTAGGGTAGGGAGAGATTCGATTATCATTTGTCTCCTGCATCGATCTCCGCCGAACTTCTTAATCTAATAACGCATTATCGCTCTTGTTTTGAATGAAATAATTTTTTGGGTAATTTTAACATTCACTTGAACAATTCTTATGATTGCCAATTTCTTCGAAGCCATGTTTTCTCCACTCATCGCCGTTGAGATGAACTTGCTCAAATTAGTCTTACCCATATTGTAGCTGGTGATTGTAATCTCAGTTATCACTGCCCTCTGTTGTTTTCTACGAAAATCGGAAAGACATTGATGTCAATCAGCTTTTCGTGGAAACGAAAACTTTCTGTTATTGCCAGTACACTCGAAATGGAACTGGAGTCATGTTTTAATTCTAGGATTCGGGAACACGGATTGAAAAGCAGAGACAAGACAATGTGTATTCACTACCATTTTTCAGTGACGCCAAGCTGTTCTACAAATCAATAAAGCATGAGACCAAGAAACACCACAATAGCGTTATGCCCACGTCCAGCTCGAAAAATTCATTTGTTTTGCCGTAGTTTTTTCCCACCTTGAAGGGGACGGCATTTGTAACCCTCCGACCGAGTTCGGAGTGTGATTCGAACACACAACCTCCTTGTTATGAGTCGCGAACGCTCTTCGTGTTTTTTTTTATCAAAGATGGTGAAAATTGAAATAACTCAAGTAGATAGTTTTTGTTTACTTTTAATTGGAAAGTTTGATATAGAAAAAAAAACTTTTTTTCAGCTTCCTTGAGTTAACTAAGATGAAGACGATTTATCTATCAGGGAAAGAACTAAGATACGAGCTGCTAAGCTCATCACGGAAAACCGCTGTTGTGTCCCTGCTTTCGCACTACATGCAATTTTTTCGGTTGTTTTGCACAGCCGGATTATGATGGGCCTCGAACATCCGACTTTTCGTTTGGGAGGCGGAGACGTAACCACTTCACCGCCGCTCCCTATTTTTTTTCGAGTCTTTGTTTCTTAAATTTTGTACTGTAGACAATTTTCTGAACACTGGGCGTCCATTGAAATAATTTTATTACTTTGATTTGATTTATGGAAAAATCTTTCTTCAATCATTTCTTTCATACCTGTAGTTTGACTATTACTTGAGGATAGAGATTGATGGAAGTTTGCTAACTCTTTTAGATTGTTGACGAATTTTTTTATGCACTCTTACTGTAGCAAGGAATGCGAAGCTGGGTTAGTATCTGAATTAAAATAGAAACGATCATTAATAGCATGGGTTCAATTCAGATTACAATGGCATTTCATCGTGATGTGGCAATATGAGTAGTGGGGGAGGTGCAATGGAAGGAGGCAAAGATTCGTCTAGCACCACACTGGACTCTAAACTCGAATCGCTTCCAAAAGAGGAGCTCATTAGATATGTGAAAAAGCAGGCTCAACAGATATCCAAACTCAAACATCAAAAGCAATCGAATCCGAATGCGCAATCGGAATCAAATAATCAAGGTGAGTTTGTCTCTAATATTAAGAGTCGTTGAACGTAGTTCAGGCTCTTATATAGGTCGTGATGATTTTTCTCGTCTTTTTAAGGAAAAGTCTTAAAATGCAAAAGCATTCATACTTGTAAATGCACATGAATGGCCGTGGGTAAATATGCTTTTTTTTATAGTTCAACTTAAGTTTATTTGCTTAAAGCTGGCAGAATGCACCTGATCAATTTCTAGTTTCAATTTTTTATTCTAGATTCTAGAATTTAATTGTTAGATTTCCCAGCGGAATAAAAATTTCTAATAATCCAGTTTTCTCAAATTGGGTTAATTTTATCACAAAAAGTTCTATTTATAATTAGAGCTTCAAGGCCATATTAAGTTCGAAAGTTGACTTTTTTCAAAAAACAAGTCTTTTTTTCTTTGCGTTCATTGACTCCTCTCAACTGTCTGCTGGATATGTTTTTAACTTTGATGCTCTCAATTAATTTTTTGATATCTCGAGTTCAAAATCATCACATCATCTTTTTAAGTTATTGGACTGTTAAGATCGCTGTTTTTTCAGTTCCATCAAAAAAATGTTGAAGTCAAATTAAATTATTATTTTTTTCTACACTACGATTATCCGATGCCCTCAATTTGATTTCACTCCTTAAGCAGTTTCTCCGCAATCTTGTTGGCCTGATTCACTCTCTCCTTATTCATAGCACCCTTCTCCGCAATCCTTCCCAACACGTTGTTCTGCTTGTCCAACTCATCACTGATGTCATTGGCCATCTTGTAGAGATTGCCCACTGCCTCGTTCACTGTTTGAAGGTTCTTTTCCAGCTCCTCCTCTTTCCACGTGCCAGATATTTTGGCCGTCATTGTGGGCTTCACACCCGGCATCACCTGAAAAAAAATTATAAGTTTGGCACTTCTAGCCTTTCTCCCAACTGTGATTCATACCAAATTAAACTAACGTTAACTTTGTCGATTTTTTTTTCAAATTTGACATGAATGGTAAATACCCGATTGCCTTCACACTTAGTTTTTATGTACATTGTTCTAAAGTAAAATCAACGAATCAATTGCAAGATGTATTTTTGTCGGTGTAAGTGGGACGGTTAAAAGAGCCATAAGTCATAATGAATTGATATCGGGATCCTTCTTAATCCAGAACGGAATTGGCGAATATGCGAGGCCAATCTGGCAAAGACTATTAGTCTCAGTTGGGCAAAGAGACAGCAAAGGTTCATCCTAAGGGTCTATGGCCTACAGCATTGCTACCAACAATTTTAACATGAGCGGATTGTAATAATGTAAATAGAGTTAAGACCCTTTATTCACGAGGGAAAGGAACACTATAGTTGATGTTCGGTTTTTTACGAGGATTCACTGTTACGTCCCTTTTTAAGAATATGATGTTAATCTTATTTTATTTGGGCTCAGAGTTGTCGCCGAACCCGCAGACGAACAATCATCATAGTGGGTCTCGAACCCGCCTGCCTTTCGACTGAGAGCTGGAAACCTTAAATTCTTCAGCACTGTTTATCTAATCAAAAGAAGAAAATGTGGTACAAATTTATGGTTCATGTGGTGCTGTAGGCCACTACGGCAAAAACTTGTAACAAAAGAACTCGCAAAAATAGGAAACTCGCGAAACTGAAGGAGAGCGAGAACTAGCGAAGTTCGATAGTTAGTTTAAAACGAAATGGCAAGTAGTAACTGCTTGCTCCCCTGCGCTTACATTGAACACGAATAGTATAATGGCTGTAAATCAGTGATTGCCGTGAATCTAGGTTTTTTGTTTGGTAGTTACAGAGATCAGAAAGATTTATCTGTTGGTGTGAGTTGTCGTATTAAGCTACGGGTCTACTAACTCTGAATGCTGTGGTGGCGTCCGGTTGTTTAACCACTGGCTTGGTCGTCTTGTTCAATTTTTCCCAGTCGGCCTCGTAGTCTTTGATCTCAGTGTCGGCACTCTTGTTCCACGGACACATTATGATTCCACAGCACTTGTTCATCTCCAACAGTCCCTTCTCGGCTGTAGTCATGTCTCGGTTGATCTTCCCCAGACCCTCTTCCATGTTTTCCATCTGTTCACCCTGGTCATCGATCTAAATCAGTTGTCCAACCTGAATTATGGCTGTCAGATCACTGTGATTATAAATGATCGGTCAGGTTTGAGCTCAGTTGTGTTTTTCTAAATTTATGGTTACGATCAGAAATTTTTTCTTAATCTTTTTAGCCTGTCCTTTTCGTCATTTAAACTTACTGTTTGTTGCTAGTAGGGATCAATAAACATGAAATCGAATTCGGGGAAAATAGGGCTCAAGCGAACTAAATAAGTCAAGTTTTCAAATATTGGCAGATTTGGAAGAGACACGCACAACTGAACTGACTCAAGGATTTTGAAACTCTTATGTCTCAAAGTACCACCTTCATTACTCGTCTGCGAAACCAACTTTTGCCCAGCCATTGCTGAAATTTCCGAAAGGCGACTTGAGCGCTAATATATGCTAATAGTCAAGTCAAATCAAAATAAGTCAAGTTTCCACAAAATACAAACATTTCTCAAAAGATTTTTTGTTCCGATCGTGTCACTGAAAGTGCCACTGAAATCGCTTTTTTCCAGCCCATTTTAAACAACTCTATTTTTTCTATTTCTTGTTTTTTTTTACTTTTTTAACTTGTCTATCTTACTAATTTTTTAAGTGTCAATGAACATTTGGAAAACACGTATATATGGCTCGTTGATTTTTAAAATTTGATCGCGTCAAGTTTGATCTTTTGCGAATTGGCATTGATGTCTTTTGAAGTTGATTACAATTTTATTCATAGGAAAACACTCTATTTTTTCATAGGAAAACACTCTAGGAAAACCTCTATTTTTTTCAATTGGAATAATTGAATATTGATGCTTCCTCCAGTGTTTGTTCTGGTATGTTATATTATTAGAATTTATTATTATTATTTAAACGCAAACGTCGGTATAAATCATTTTTAATTATATTGATGCAAGCGTTTGTTTTTATTGCTAGCATAGAAGACGCCAAATACATCCCTTGATGCTTCACATTGCGTCTTTTTTTCTTTTTCTTTTTGATTATTTTATCAATTTTTCGAACAATTTTTTTTAATTGGCCTTTAAGTGCAGTGGAAATAACCAGGGTTTTGCCCTGATGTACGAACAAGCTTGTTTTTTTCTTAATTGATTTTTTTTTAAATTGAATCCGTGCCAGAATTGCATGGCCAAAGCAACGTGTTTTTTCTCATTTGGGTTTTTAAGTGATCCTGGCACTTCTCCAATAAATTGTTCGAAATTGTGTCCTTGTTCTTTCAATTTTAAAACAAAAAGAATCTTTCAAAGAGTTTTCGTTTAAGGATTAGGTGTTCAAAGAGAAAAAATACCCGATATTTTTTGGGTTTTTGAAATGGCCATAACTGCTCGCGAAAAATCGAAAGCGAAAACTCTGCTCGCGGAAACCGTAGATCATCGATCTTATTTTGATTTCTTGAGGTACTAGGGCCTTACCCTGACAAGTGCTCTGACAGCGAAGTCTTTGCACTCGTTCGTCTTCTTAATCATATCCATACTAGTCATCAGATTTTTGTCTATCAGATCCTCGATTTGTCTCTGAACTGCTGCCACCTCAGGGTCCTCCGAGAACTCTATCTCAGGTAGACCAATGTCCCCCTCAACTGTCGTCTTCTCCTTAACCCCTCCCCCTCCGCCGTCCCCGTTCTCCATCGATGCAACTGTGGTTTTAAGTAAGAGTGATATGTCAAGTTCTTTTGTTTTTGAATTCTGCTTATTTTAACAAAAATGGCGAACAAGGTTATATTTGATAACGATGAAACAGGCAAAACCCTGGAAGAATGTTGAAATAGTTTATTAACATGAACAACTCGTTCTTTAATTGGATTTCTCTAATATTTTAGTTCTCATTTTCTTATATTCGTAGGGCTGTCATAACCACATTATGCTGGGCTCGTAGTTTTCATGTAACGATGAAGTAAAAGTTGAGTTATAATCAGAGAAACGTAATGAAAAGAGAACAAACAATTGTAGAGCAGCTTTAGTTTAAACAAAGTAAGAAAAATCATGCTTTTTATATGCCATGCTTTAGTATGTGCATAATCAAAGTAATGATTTTGTGCTGTGCGTGTATCAAGTTTTACGATACCGATGATTTAGAGTTTTTGTATTGGTAGAAAAAGTCTCTCATTATAGCCATTGGTAATTATATCGTCAGATGTTGATCTAGTGTTTTGTATTAGGTCAACCAAGCAATTGACCGTCTAATCTGACCTTTGAAAGACTCTATATTTTACCGAAAAATATGCTCTGAAAATCATTTACTGAAAAAAGAGCCTAAATTGCTGTTCATGGGTTACTTTTCGAAAATTTAACCTTTTTAAAAAGACGACCAAAAATTTGTGTTTAATCGGTGCGTGCCCATCAACAGGATTGCGCATATTGGCGCCACAAATTACCAAAAAGAGAAGGTATGTAACCTTGCCACGGAGAAATAATTTTAGCCCAGGTACAGTGCTGATTTAAATTATCCGGACAAAAAGCATTTAACTTGAAACTTAAAACAGGTTTTTCTCAAACTGGGTTGAGTTTAGGGGGAAATCGATTACGACAAAACTTGCTTAGAATTTCAGCTGAATTAATATGGTGCATTTTGTTTTGCGAAATACGAGTCCAAAATTTTCCCTCAAAATGGATCATTTTTGACTTTTTTAGGCAATCAAAAATTACGCCGAAATCACCAAGTGGATCTCTGAGATAATTATATCAAATAAAACTCTTACAATGGTCAAAAAACATTACAAAGCGTCTTTCCTCCGAAACATTGTATAAAATAATTTATTTTTGTTTGATAGACAAAAGGTTGTTTTTACAATATTAAACACAAGTTTTTATTTAAAAAATATCTTTAAACGCTTTGCGCTATTTAAAATATTGGTTGCATTAAAATATTGGTCGCGAATTTTTCAAAATAATTTGCACCGTATTAATTCTGGTAA